GTGGTGGATTACAATGATGGATTTCTGTATATTGAACCATCCCTGCATCCCTGGGATGAAGCCTACTTGATCATGGTGAATGATCATTTTGATGTGTTCTTGGATTCGGTTTGCAAAAATTTTATTGAGTATTATTGCGTCAATGTACATAAGAAAAATTGTTCTGACGTTCTTATTCTTTGTAGGGTCTTTGTGTGGTTTAGGTATAAGCGTAATTGTGGCTTCATAGAAAAAATTGGGTAGTGTTCCTTCTGTTTCTATTTTGTCGAATAGTTTAAAGAGTATTGGTATTAGGTTTTCTTTGAAGGTCTGATAGAATTCTACACTGAAACCATCTGGTCCTGGGCTCTTTTTTTTTTTTTTTGATTGGTTGGTTGAGAGAATTTTAATAACTGCTTCTATTTTTTTAGGGATTATGAAATAGTTTAGATGGTTTATCTGATCCTTTGGCACATAGTATCTGTCTAGAAAATTGTCCATTTCATCCAAATTTTCCAGATTTCTTGAATATAGGCTTTTGTAGTAGGATCTGATTATTTTTTTAAATTTCCTCAGTTTCTGTTGTTATGTCTCCTTTTTCAGTTCTGAATTTATTAATTTGGATACTGTCTCTGTGCCTTCCGGGTAGTCTGGCTAAGGGATTATCTATCTTGTTGATTTTCTCAAAGAACCGGTTCCTGGTTTTGTTGATTCTTTGTGTAGTTCTTTTTGTTTCTAGTTGGTTGATTTCAGCCCTCAGTTTGATTATTTCCTGCTGTTTACTCTTCTTGGGTGTATTGGCTTATTTTTGTTCTAGAGCTTTGAGGTGTGGTTTTAAGCTGCTAGTGTACACTCTCTCTAGTTTCTCTTTAGAGGCACTCAGAACTATGAGTTTTCCTCTTAGCACTGCTTTCATTCTGTCTCATAAGTTTTGGTATGGTATACCTTCATTTTCATTAAATTCTAAAAAGTCTTTAATTTCTTTATTTCTTCCTTGACCAAGTTATCACTGATTGTAGTGTTGTTCAGCTTCCATGTGTAAGTGTGCTTTCTGTTGTTTTTGTTGTTATTGAAGACCAGCCTTAGTCTGTGGTGATCTGATAGGATGCATTGGATTATTTCAATCTTCTTGTATCTGTTGAGGCCTGTTTTGTGATCAATTATATGGTCAATTTTCGAGAAAGTACTATGAGGTACTGAGAAGAAGGTATATTCTTTTGTTTTAGGATGAAATGTTCTATAGATATCTGTTAAATCCATTTGGTTCATAACTTCTGTTAATTTCACTGTGTCTCTGTTTAGTTTCTGTTTCCATGATCTGTCCATTGCTGAGAGTGGGGTGTTGAAGTCTCACTATTATTGTGTGAGGTTCAATGTGTGCTTGAGCTTCAGTAAAGTTTATGAGTGCCATTGTATTTGAAGTATAGATGTTCAGAATTGAGAGTTCATCTTTGTAGATTTTTCCTTTGATGAGTATGAAGTTTCCTTCTCCTTATCTTTTTTGATAACTTTTGGTTGAAAGTCAATTTTATTCGATATTAGAATGATCCAGCCTGTTTCTTGGGACCATTTGCTTGGAAAATTGTTTTCCAGCCTTTTATTCTGAGATATCTGTTGTTGTCACTGAGGTGTGTTTCCTGTATGCAGCAAAATGCTGGGTCCTGTTTACGTATCCAGTTTGTTAGTCTATGTCTTTTTATTGGGGGAATTGAGTCCATTGATGTTAAGAGATATTTAGGAAAAGTGATTGTTGCTTCCTGTTATTTTTGTTGTTAGAAGTGGAATCATGCTTGTGTGGCTATCTTCTTTTGGGTTTGTTGAAAGATGATTACTTTCTTGCTTTTTATAGGCTGTATTTTCCCTCCTTGTGTTGGGGTTTTCCATCTATTAACCTTTGTAGGGCTGGATTTATAGAAAGATAGTGTGTAAATTTGGTTTTGTCATGGAATATCTCGGTTTCTCCATCTATAGTGATTGAGATTTTTGCTGGGTATAGTAACCTGAGCTGGCATTTGTGTTCTTAGGATCTGTATGACATCTGTCCAGGATCTTCTGGCTTTTATAGTCTCTGGTGAGAAGTCTGGTGTAATTCTGATAGGTCTGCCTTTGTATATTGACATTTTTCCCTTACTGCTTTTAATATTCTTTCTTTGTTTTGTGCATTTGGTGTTTTGATATAGAAATGGAGGAATTTCTTTTCTGTCCAGTCTATTTGGAGTTCTGTAGGCTTCTTGTATGTTCATGGGCATCTCTTTCTTTAGGTTAGGGAAGTTTTCTTCTATAATGTTGTTGAAGATATTCACTGGCCCTTTAAGTTGGGAATCTTCGCTCTCTTCTATACCTATTTTTTTTTTTTTGGTTTTTTTTGAGACAGGATTTCTCTGTGTAGCCCTGGCTGTCCTGGAACTCACTCTGTAGACCAGGCTGGCCTCGAACTCAGAAATCCACCTGCCTCTGCCTCCCATCTTCTATACCTATTATCCTTAGGTTTGTTCTTCTCATTGTGTCCTGGATTTCCTGGATATTTTGTGCTAGGAGCTTTTTGTTTTTTGTATTTTCTTTGACTATTGTGTCAATGTTTTCTATAGTATCTTCTGCACCTGAGAGTCTTTCTTCTATATCTTGCATTCTGTTGGTGATGATGCATCTATGACTTCTGATCTCTTTCCTAGGTTTTCTATCTCCAGCATTGTCTTCCTTAGTGTTTTTCTTTTTTTTTCTATTGTTTCCATTTTGGTTTTTGGATCCCGGGTGATCAAGTTCAATTCCTTCTCTTGTTTGTTTGTGTTTTCCTATAATTCTTTAAGGAATTTTCGTGTTTCCTCTTTAAGGGCTACTAGCTGTTCACCTGTGTTCTTCTCTATTTCTTTAAGGGAGTTATTTATCTTCTTCTTAAAGTCCTCTATCATCATTATGAGAAGTGATTTTAGATCCCAATCTTGCTTCTCCAGTGTGATGGTGTATCCAGGACTTGCTATGGTAGGAGAATTGGGTTCTGATGATGCCAAGTAATCTTGGTTTCTGTTGCTTATGTTCTTATGCTTGCCTCTCACCATTTGATTATCTCTAGTGCTACCTGTTTCTGACTGGAGCTTATCCCTCCTGTGATCTTGGTTGTGTCAGAATTCTTCAGAGTCTAGCTGTCTCTGTGATCCTGTGATTCTGGGATCCTGGGATCCTGAGATCCTGGGCCTGTCAGAGCTCCTGGGAGTCAAGCTGCCTCTGGGATCCTCAAATCTTGGTGTGACCAAGCTCCTGAGATCCTATGATCCTGGGCATGTTAGAGAGCCTGGGAGTCAAGCTTCTTTTGGATGTTGTGGGACTGGGTGTAGAGCTAGCAGCCAAGGTCTTCTCAGGGTACCGACTTAGACCAGAAGAAACCCATGCCACTGGCTGAGCCGGGATTCCTGCATTTCTGGATCCTGCTGGTCCCAATTACTCCCGGTGATGGGGCTTTGGAGTGTTAGGGGCAGATATTGTGGCCTCCTCACCTATGATCCTGGGTATCTTAGAGCACCTGGGAGTCGAGCTTCTTCTGGATCTCGTGGGACTGGGTGCAGAGGTAGTGCCCAAGGTCTGCTCAGGGCACTGGCTCAGACTGGAAAGCTTTAAATGCAGATTTTTAAATATCTTTTGTCAGCCACTCATTTCTTTCTGGTACATCATAATATCATACTGTATTTTTTATATTTTTATTTAATTCTAATTAATTCTAGGCATATTAGAATTTCATTACTTAAATGTGCCCTAACCCTTAACATAGAGGACTTGGAATATAAAGAATAACAATAATTGAAATTGATGATACTGTTGTTTTAGACAATCTAACATTTAAGCGGGTATTAACAAGCAAAGCAAAAAATAAACAAAAAACACCCAAAACAAACTCTTTCCCCACAGTAAACTGTTAGGGGTAGAGATGGAATATTAATTGTACCTTACAACCTGACTTCAATGCCTGGGACTCACATGGTGAAAGGAGAGAACTAATCATTCCCTGATCTCTGTATGTGTACTGTAGCACATATGTGCCCTTTCTATACACAGTAAATCAATCTTCAACCAATCAATCATCATTAAATTTAAGTAATAACATTTTGAAAATGAAATGGAATGATTTTGTAGACTTGCTGCAATATGAAAGTTTATTTTTACTGTAGACAAAGTATTAAGTATGGTATATATTTTATTGTTTTTTATTTATCTTCTTGTTCTTCTTTTTTTTCATATGAGGGGAGTGAAATAGAGTCTTATGTAACCTATGCTATATTTGAACTTTTAAGTCTCCTGGCTCAACCTCCTGAGTGTTGGGATTGCAGTAAAAAATAACATATTTCTAGTAATAGTATATTTTATTATGCATGTATGTTTCTTAAGTCCTAAACTTTATTTTTGAACATAAATAACTGAAATAACTTTATAAGAAATTACATTCATATTTAGAGAATTCAAAGCATCAAAAGTGACTAATAAATGAACATTTGTAAGATTACATGTTTGAATTATATAAGAATGAAGCTTATAAGTAGCGTTATTGATGATATAGCAGTCCATTGATATGAATCTAAAGCTATGAGCTTAACATTAGAATGCATAGACTTATGTGAAATACAGGTACTTTAAGAATAAGTCAATATCTTTAAATTAAGACCTGATGTTACTATGCCTTAACTCATCAAATTAACCAGTTTAATAATATAGAAGATCTAAAATAATAAAAATTATTCCTAATGTAATTATGATTGATAAAAATATAAAATATTTCTTATGCTATTCTCTTCTGAAATCTACAATAAAACTATCCTTGAGCCTTTGGGTTCAGTTGTATTTCTATCACCTGTTATAGTGTAAACTGTTCAAGGATTATTATTGTGGTGTAAAAAGTTGCATAAACCATTCCTAGGGGCTTGTAGAATTCTTGTTTAATTATGTTATCATTCGAAGTTTATATTTCTTAATTTAAATTTAAAATTTTTCATGGATCAATATAATTTAAATTATATTTAATTTTTTTTCACTAGGAAAAAGTCAAAGAGAAGGAAGAAAGTCTGAGTCTTGTAAACCAATTCTTAAAGTAGAGTACAAAACGTGCAGGAACAGGTATGTGGTTGTACTTTGTGAATATGTGATATATCTAAGGGATAGGAGAAGGAAAGCAATTGTTAATGATTTGTTATATTGTCATATAATTATAAATTATTAATTATCTAGATCAGTAATGTAATTTATTGATTATTATGAATATTGAAAATAACAAATAACTCATTCTATTTATATTAGCATCATATATATCAATTCTAATAATTGAGGACTTTTGAACCATTTATAATACTGGTAGCATATTTATTAAGCTAAATCTATGCATCTGTTGATATTCCTTATGAGATTTAAATACATAACCTGATCACTCTGAACTTAGGATCTTACATTTTGAAGTTGGAAAGTTAAACTTTAGTTGGAGTTATAACGTTATTAATGTTGTCATAATGGAAAAAACCTAAAATTTAAGATAAAATAACATTTGATATAGTTTTGTTACATTTATAGATACTATATCTAGTACTTCTGCATAGTTTTTAAATTTACATTAATCACTAATGGAAAATTTCCACCCAAAATGTAAACTTGTGTGTGTGTGTGTGTGTGTGTGTGTGTGTGTGACTTGTGTGTGTTTGGAAGAGCATGCTACAAAGCTTATGTGAAGGTCAGAGGACAATTTTATGGAATCAGTTCTTTCCTTCCATCTTTAAGTGGGTTCCAGGGATCCAACACAGGTGCCAGGCTATGCATCAAGCATCTTGACCTGCTGAGCCATCTTCTCAGCTCCTAAACATTATAACCATAAACTGAAAAATTCTACTTTATGTAAGATTTACTTGCTCACACTGCAATTTGTTTTTGTCATCATAGATACAATTGGGTTTGTAAAACTTCTTCTAAAGTTGTAATAGTATAAAATCATGATAAATTAGCAACATTTCTTTATCAGGCCAGTTTAATATAGTATAAAGTAATAAAATATTACAAATTTTATTTTATTTGGATGGAAACAAAATTTTACATAATTCTCTTCTAAATAACATTTATTACTAGAACTTTTCTTCAGCCTTTTTTTCAGTAGTATTTATATCACCTGCTATATAATATAAAGTCTAAGTACCACTGAGGTTCAAGAAGCTATATTAATCATCCCAACAGCTTCCAAGCAATTGGATTTGGGTTTTCCTTTTCACTTGCTTATTTTTTCAAAAGATTTTTTTCTCTATTTCAGTCTTGGGCTGACCTATAGACTCTTAATAATAACCATTGAATTATCAATTAGTATTCAGCCTCTTCTATAGATTGCAAATCTTGAAAATAAAGCAGCAAAATGAGAACAAAGAGTGTCATGGGATGCCTGGGGAATTTTTCCATGACAAATTTTATGATCCATGAACTTTATGGCTTCTATTTTGCTACAAAATTGTCATTCTGAAAATGTTCTCCTATGAAATGCTCTACAATATTCAATTTGTTTCCATTGGTTTTAACTATATATCACACATTATGTAATTTGATTTGTGTGCTAAAAAAGAAATTACTGCCAGTGTTTGAATGTATTAGGCTCTAGTAAGCAGCAACCAAGACAAACACTGCGTCTTTTAAACGAGAAGTAGTACTGTAGAATTTTGCTTTAGGGGGAGAGAAAGGGGCAAGAGTATATAGTTAGGCTGTAAATATTACCAAATATCTATTAATCAGGTTTGAGAAAATTAAAAATAAAAAAAGAAGAGACCAAGCATTTAAATGGGGGCTTGCTTGCAATGTTTGAGGGTTAGTCTATGATCATGATGAGAGGAAGGAAGTATGGCAGCAGGCAGGCAGAGGTGGAGAAGCAGCTGAGAGAATATCCTGATCCACGGGCAGCAGGCAAGAGAGACAGCTGAAACCTATTCCAACAAGGCAGTATCTCCTAATTCTTCTAATCCTTAAATAGTTCTACTCTAATTTGACTAACATTCTAACATGTGAGCCTATGGAAGCATTTTCATTCAAAACACCACAGAAACTTAGAATAAAAATGATATAGATTTCTGGCAAATAGAAAATAGTTATGAAAACTAAGTAAAACAGCCCAATGTGGGGGCTTGGAGAGATGGCTCAGCAATTAAGAGTACTTACTGCCTTGCAGAGGACCTAGATTTGGCTCCCAGCATCCACATGCCAGCTCATGATTGTTTGTTACTCCAGTTTCGTGGACTCTGATACAGTCTTCTGGCCTCTTCATGCTCCTGCGTTTACACAATACACACAAATTCATACAAAAACACACATATAATTTTTATGAAAAATAAACAAAACTCTTAATCCATGGTATACCTATATTCACTACACAATTTTATTGTGTGTACTTAAAGTTTACAGTGCATGTTATTGGATAGATGGAACTTCTTCAATGGTAGGGAATATGCTTTCTAATAGCAGATTAAGGGGTTTTCACTCACTTTGTCAAATCACTAATTCTCATCCCCAATGGAAGACTCAGGGAACAGAAGAGCCCTTGGCCTGATAATTAAAGTATTGAGTAAAATAAATTTTAAAGAAAAATCAGAATAGTTAATTTATATGTAAATGTAATCGAAATATTAATACTCATATTGTTTTTGTTGTTTTTACTTAGCATAAGATTAACACATGATTGCACAATACAAAATGAAAAAGAGGAGATACAGTGACTTGCAGAGACAAGCAACTTCTTAGTTTAGCCAATAGAGAGTGAAAATGGGTTACTTAGAGGAACAGACTTTCAAAGGACTGATGTAAAGAGTCTCTAGTTCTTTTTAAAATGCATTTGGAGAGGACTACTTTCAATTAGGCAATTATATCCTGAAGATGCTTCTTTACTAGCACAAAATGTGCATTGATTTAAAAGAAGAAAAATGAAATGTTATGAAACTATAGGCAGCTTTAATATTTATAACTATTGAAGGAAACCTGATTGGGTTAGTCACTTCATGCCATTTTAACATAGTACAGGAATAAATATTTTTTTTCTATTTTTTTTCGAGACAGGGTTTCTCTGTGTAGCCTTGGCTGTCCTGGAACTCACTCTGTAGACCAGGCTGGCCTCGAACTCAGAAATCCACCTGCCTCTGCCTCCCAAGTGCTGGGATTAAAGGCGAGCGCCACCACCGCCCGGCAGGAATAAATATCTTAAGGTTGAAAGACCTATTTGGCTTTGGTTGCAGAAGGCTCTATTATTGGCTGACTTCATTTATTTTAGTCTTATGTCAAGACAAATTAAAATCATGGCAGAAAGGCACACATAGTAACGTAGCTTACATTATATCAGCCAAGAATCAGTGAGAAGAGAGGAAGTCTTGCTTGGTACCCTTTCTCATTCTTCCTTCCTAGACAGCAGACTGTTGGACAGCACTGCCTGTACATTCAGCACAGGTTTTGCCTCACAGCTTTTAGTTGCTAGTCCACATGGCAGTTGTCTCTGTAAATACTCTACTAGACATATACAGGAGTGCATTTCTTAACCCGGCCAAACATTCTCAACACAAACAAGTTATGGACCGAACAGCAGGGGTGTGTGTGCATGCATGTGTGTGCGCGTGTGTGTATGTGTGTGTGTGTTTCTGTGTGTCTGTATGTATATGTGAACAATTAAAGAAAAAGAGCCCCTAATTTGAGCAAGAGCAAAGAAGAGTATGTGAAAGAAGTTGAAAGGAGAAAGGGGGAAGGGGAAAATGATGTAATTATATTTTAACGTCAAAAATAAAGTATTAAATAAAGTAATAACTAAAATTTTATGTGGATTTACTAGAGCCAGATAAAGCTAGCTTGCTAGGTATGCATAAAGTTTTGTATGAGATATTTTTCTGTTAAATTATTATTCATCTACATATTATTTTTTTCTCTCCTCATAAAACTCTTGCTACAGAAGCTTCACTATCTAGAATTTTTATCTTTTCACTTACCATTATGAGGTTTCCACTGTGATATTTAATTTTATATTAAAATTTGATTCCTTTTCATCTTAGAAATTTGGGTTCCAGATACTTACTCATTAATTGAATATTATAACAGAAATTTATGTTCTAGTGATAGTCATATAGAATTTGGTAGCTAAATTTGTGCATGTATGTGCCTTTGAGAGTCAGTGAGTATTTCCACTTTCTACCATCTTGTCTTTCCTCAGTGCTACCCAAATATCTTTATGCTCACTCATGAATTATTTTCATAACTAGAATATAGATCCAGAAAAGGGAGGATGATAAAATAGTCAATTGTTGGTTGAAAGCTAGAGTTGGAAAGGCCATTTACATTGTAGATAATCTCCTCTGAACCTATCATTTAAAGACTTATGTTTTGACTTTGTGTTGTTTTAAAGAATGTAGTCTCATTATCCCCTTTCTTCCCTGTGTAGTGAACCATTTATAATATTCTCTGGTGGGCTGTCATATGACAAAGCTTGCAGAAGGCCAAGTTTAACCATCATGCATGGAAAAGCAATTACAGTACTTGAAATGGATCATCCTATTGTTGAATTTCTAACTTTATGTGAAACGCCCTATCCAAATGGTAAGTGAATAAAATGAAACATTTAATTTTAGAAAAAAAATCATTTTTTGAAATGACAAATTCCTAATGAAATTAAGGTTAAATATTTTCAGTTTTGGCAGCAGACATCCACTGTGGTACAACCCCTGTGAGCTACAGTTGCTGGCGCAGGTTCTGCACTTGCACCTACTTGGCAGACTGGAAGTAAGACAGATGTAGTGCAGCAGTGCTGGCGTTTCAGGTTCTAATATCAGGTAAGTGCTTTAAACTTTGATAAGGATGGTGGAAGCTGAGCTGGGAGGGTCCGATAGGGGTCCAGGGTGAAGTCACTTGGGGAAACTGAGGTCTCCTAATAGTCTCTCCTAGACCAGCTCCACCCATCCCATCCCAATGCCAATCAAAGTTAAAGCACTTACCTGATATCAGTGATCTGTAACTCTGGTGGTGCTGCATCTCTTTCACATCTGGCTTTGCTTCAGATGCAGCTGCAGCACATCTGATTACTTTAGGATTGCTGATGTATGGTCAGTGATTTATTTTAATTTGGACAACAGTCATAAGACCATCAGGAAGAAAGATGTATGTATATCTTTATTATCTTAAATAAAGATACAAAACCCTTTGTAAACATAAAAATTAGTCTAAACTCATATAAAAGTAAAATCTAATTGTGATAAAGTATTTTAAGAAAATTTAAAAAATTAAAATGGTTAAAATATAAACCATAAACATGAATTTATGATGAAAACAATATTAATACACATTGCTACATTTTCAAAAGGGGACTTATAGATGTAGGACAAAGACTACTGGACTTGGGACAAAATATTTGGGTTTATGATTTACTTTGGCTACTAAGATACTTATATGTATTGTTTATCATGTATATGGAAAGAGAATAATATTACCCCAATATGATTAGTGTAAAGGAAAAAGAACATATTTTTTAACTATGAAAATATGTATGTTGTGTTCAGTTGCTAAATATTTTTATTTCCTTTAAATTATTTAGCTTCATATTTAGATATGTAATAAATAACAATCAACATAGAAATTTATTTCCACAGTTACCAGAGACAAATAATCTGTATTTTTAAATAATCAACATATATTAATTAATGTTACTGTGGCCTCATACTACAAAGACTTGTTGAACTTAGAGACATATGATCATAATCTGCACATAAATTGCATAAAGTCTGATTGGATCAATAAAATAAATGTGAATTTTTGAGTTGAAGTAATGCATGATTACAGTGCTGAGTCACAAAGTTTATAGGATAAATAATATTCTATTTTATAGAATGGTTAAATGACTGAAATGTTTGTGAAATTTCTCATTGAAAAACAGGACTTGAGCATAACTTTTGAGAATATTAAGTAAAGGTTTTACAAACTGTGGGTTTGAGAAGGTCAATTTAGAAGAAAGCTTCTAAGCTTTTAGAAGATGTTTGGGGAGATACAGAAAAACTCTGAAGAAAATACCAATATGAAAGAAAGCACTAGTCTTAGTAGAGTTTGTCCAACAAATAGGTAGGTTTCAAGAGAAACCCTCAAAATCCAAACTGCAGCAAAGACATTTGTAAATAGTATTTATTTAATGTAACTGGGTGTGCTGTTTTACTCATGTAATCTCACAACTGGAGAGACAGGAAGCAAGAGGATTGCTATGAGTTCAAGGCCAGCCTGAGCTACATAGTAAGCTTTAGTTCAGCTTGTGCTATAGTGTGTGCGAGACATTGTTTCAAAAAAATCAAAAACAAAACAAAATTTAAATGCAAACCATTTCAGGTTTCATTCACAGTCACAGGCTGTTTTGTTTTGTTTTTATCATTTTAAATTTATTACTTTCCTACCACTGTTTCTCCTTCCTCTTTCTCTCTAGTTCCTTCCCCCTACCCAAGCCCTACCCTAGCCCTCACACCTGATCTACTCCTCCTCTATTTCCCTTCAGGAAAGGGAGGCCTCCCATGGATATCGACCAAACAAGAGTTATCAAGTTGTAGTAGAGGGGAAATGCCTAGTCTCAGAGGTTTTCTTGTTGTTTTTTATTTTTTAAAGAAAGAATAGTAAGATTGAGTAAGGTCAATAGAGAGAAAAACTAGAGAAAGTATTTTACAATATTTATTCATGATTTATCACAATTTAAATGTTCTTTGGAGTTGTGAATATGGATAACAACAGTTAGAAACACCTCGGAAGGGAATGTGCAGGAAACAGAAAGAAAAGTAAAAATACAGAAAAAAAAATCTAAAGTTAGAAAAATTCCTCCAATCAACAGCATTGAGATATATCTGAAATAGGAGTTCAGAATCTATTGTTGCAAAGATCAGACATTATATGCCTTGTGCTTGTAGTCTTCTGAACATCAGCAGCAATGCAAGGATGATTTATAATGATTTTAATAAAGTATAAATCTGCTGTTATGCATATTCCCCACAAATTGATTAATAAGTCTATTTTTCAGAAAACTGATAAAGACAATTGCACTTTTCATTTGTCATGTTTAAGGAGAAGCGGTTTTATGATACTCATGATACTATGAATATATTAACTACTCAAATGTATTTTAATTATTCAAACTCTAGATATATCAAAGCACCAGAAAAGAAAGCCTACAATACATAATTCAGTTTTTCACAGCCTTTCTAGACTCATCCAATGCTATTTACCTTATTAATTACTTTCTTCAGATATACATATACATTATCTTGTTTTTCCTACAAACTACAGAAGACTCTATGTACTTTCTTGTTAATATATTTTAATTGTTAGGTAATAGGGATTTAATCTTCTTATAGCTATATAGTGATAAATGTCATTCTCAGACTAAACCAAGTTATTAATAGTTTTAATACTTTTATGACATCTGATGATTTAACTAATTTCCATAAAACTCAAATGCTTTAACACTGTTAATTGGATTATTACCTAGAGTAATAACCATAATCAGAGTTTGCCAGTTCACATCTATATTTAGTTGGGCAGTCATCTCTAAGCCTCTCAAATGATGCAGTTCTCTTCAGAATAATAATTATGATAGAATATTGCACCCTTTAGTGGTAGGAGCAAGGGTTAAGAGATGAGACACACAAACCTAAAAAGGTAATATAGTTGCTATCTATTAGCTATAAATAATTTCATGTGTGCTCTTCATATCACTTTTGTAACAGTGTAAGGGAGTTATAATTGTGGCATTTCAGTGGAAAAGGAACTTCAAGTCAATGAGTGTAAGACAAAACTTTTAGTAAATGATAGGTAAAGCATAGAATTCAACGTAGATTCTTAAACAATTCTTTAGTAGCTGTCACAATATACAAAGGACTTTTGTGAAAGTAAGACTTCTGCTTCAAGTTTTATTTTTGCGGGAACAATAATAACTTTTGACAGATGTAACCATCTAAAATTTTAATTTATTATTGACTTTAATTCATATATGATAGTGCCTCAGCTATTTTATCTTCTAATGCTTGATATAAACCTAGCCTATGATTTTCCTAAGGAGAGCTAGAAAAAAGAAAATAAGGAGTCATATGGAACCTTAGTGTTCTAAAACCCAAATTGTATTCAAGCAATGCTGAGAAACTTAAAACAGCTCTAGAGATAGAATGGGAAAGTCTCAGTATGAGAACGGTTTGGGCATTGACCTGTAGCGGATGACATACTGTCATATAGATGATTACTTGAACACCAGAGAACCCTTGTTCTCATTCAATTGGTTTGCTTTTATGTTTTTTTTTTCTCATGTGAATGAGGTCTGTAAATGAAAACTTGAGTAGGCACAGTAACTTCAGTCTGGAAGTTACTCTGAAGGCTGTCTACCCCAATATTTAAATTTCCCACTCAAGACTTGAGTCTTCTGTAGAAAATACCTGCTGGGTGATTATTGAGTTTCAAGTAAGTTATTTTCAAACTAGACAGTCAGACCTGCTGGTATAATGAAAATGAGCCAGAAGTTAGAGTCAAAAGTCCTACGTTGAAATTATAGCAAACTACTGGTTGGTAATCCTATGCCCTTTTGGATGTGCTTTCTCAACACTATGGAAAAAAAATAACACTTGTAGCTACAGAGATTCAGAGATCATATATATATATAAAGTTTTCATGAACATAGTTTCTTTAATCGGAGAACATCTTTTTCACTGTGGGTTTCTCCATGAGTCCTTTATTGTAAATGAAAAGCAATGCTTTCTTTGACTCTGAGCTAAATCACGGCTCCCTGTCCAAAAGCAAATTACATTTTACACTATTACCATCACTTTCTCATAATTCCTTATTTCTTCACTTGTTCACATCTTGTATACTTCCCTAGAGCAAAAGATCTATAAGAAAGATTTATTGTCAGTCTTTTTCTCCATATAGCCTTTGGATTTTGAGACAGTTTCTGGGATATAATGCAAGAAGAATAGGAGAGAAAGGAATGATGGAAAGCAGGTTGGATTTTAGAAACTTGAAAATCTTAGATTACCCCACTCTGTTTGCTTTTGTAGGCTTGTACTCCTGAACACAAGAAGTAATGTATAAGAGTATGCTAAGACATATTGTCTTAAAGAACACATCTAGCCATAAGTGGTTTATTATCATAGTGAGGCAATTGGGTATCATATCCCAGAGAAGCAGAGTTAGTGCAGTCTTGGTTTGTTTCCTAGTAGGCAGGAGAAAGATCTAAAATACTAAGGTTATGAATATGATAGTCATCATAAGGTTGAGGTGATACCCTTACTCTCTTCCAATAGCCCCGGATGACTATCGCTCCATGATTTTAAAAATATATTTTACTATGCCCTAGACATAGGTCATTTTTTTCTAGTTCTGTTAGAGATTTTAACATTATATTTATCAAATACAACATGTTTTTTATTAAAGTACTCTTTGCCACTCTGGCTCATAATTTGTTTTCTTTTTTTTCATCATTTAAATAAGATCTCTATATGAGATAAAGGAAATGCAGTGTTGATGGTTTAAATAAAAATTGTGTTTATGGAAACTTTTCGATGTTTTTCTTTGTGTTGTAGAATTTCAAGAACCCTATGCTGTTGCTGTACTTCTAGAGAAAGATCTCATCGTAGTTGATCTGACACAAACCAAGTAAGTTGTTCATAAGTGCACCAGATACTTTTAAATTCTTTTCAGCACAATAAAAATGCAGGAGCACATTTTAGATAATTGGCAGCGGTCTTCTCTAGATAGAGTTTTCCTTACATCAAAATTGTCTTGCTAATGTTATGGAAATGCAATTTGGTTAAATGATGAAAAGCAAACCAGGAGAGTTTGGGTAACCAGAAAATTGGCAGTCATTTTAAAAGCAGCATGGTTGTTTGGACACAGCATGTGGACACCCAAAACACAAGGAATCACATTTTTTTGCCTTTGCCTTAAGCAAAAGCAGTTGTTAGAAAAGCATGTACAGTGTAACAGTTGACCATCTGTTAGTCTAATTGACTTAGGGAAAACTGATAAAAGAAAATTACACACACTGAAACTATTTTGGGACTATCACACCAGACAGTTCTGAAGCCTTGGATTTTTAGGGACAGAAATTGGAATCTACCTTTTACTTCTATTTTGAAACGAGGGAAATATATAATAAAAGGTGAAAGAAAATTGTTTCATTCCTGAGACACACACCTATCAATTTCAAGTCTACTTTTACAGTCAATATAAAGGAGTAGAATACACCACAGTAACAGCAGCACCTTTTATGTCTTCAGGTCATGTGTATCCTCTTTTTAACCTGCTTTGCTCTCCGTATGACACCTGTCTCCCCACTCATGATCCCTTTCTAGTTTCATCACATGTGCATATACTTACTCAACTTAGACTCTCTAAGAGAAAACATGTAGTATTTCTCCAAGTTTGACTAGTATGATTACCAGGACCTTTCATTTTCTTGAAAATGTCATGATTTCATTTTTATTTAAGATAAAAATCTAATTTGTATAGATAATGTATTTAATTTATTCATCTGTGTTATCCACTGAATTTTAGAACTACCCATTGAGGGGCTGGAGAGATGACTCAGTGATTAAGAGCACTGACTGCTCTTCCAGAGATCCTGAGTTCAATTCCCAGCAACCACATGGTGGCTCACAACCATCTGTAATGGGATATGATGCCCTCTTCTGGTGTGTCTGAAGACAGCTACAGTGCACTTATATAAATAAAAATAAATTAAAAAAAAAGAACTATTCATTGGAACCTGATAGAATCATCAATGGACACACAAAGTCAATGGCTCTCCTTTCCCCTAAATCTATCAGTGTTGAAGTAATTATTTATATCTGCCTCTGGCTCAGGCCGACTATATAAGCTTCGTCAGCTCTGCCTAGCTCAGCCACCATGTTCCATGACCAGAGGCCACGTGCGCACAGCAGCTAGAACCGGCTAGCCAGAAACACCAGCCCTGCCACCACGAAATGCCAGCATGGGAGATGGCTCTGCCAATCTTTCACGCTGTCTTCGAAAGGCTGGGCATTGCCCAGAGCATCCCACCATCCATGCAGGCCCAGTAAGAAAGATGAGACTCTAATGCTTAAAGATTAATCAAAAGCTTATATATTTGGTAATGATCAGTAACAAGATACCCATACAATCAGAAGTGTAACCCAATACCCAACTTAGATATACCAACTACCTTTGACTGCTACAGACACATGAACATCCACCTCCATTCTCTCTCTCTCTCTCTCTCTCTCTCTCTAAAACTTCTCTTCCTTTTCCTCTTCTCTTCCTTATTCCTCTTCCTCTTCTACTCCTAACTCCTCCCACATTAGCTCCTTCTACATATCAATAGCAAATAGTCCAGTGGTGAGGAACAGAGCTTCTTGAGACCCTCTTCTAGGCGTACTAGACTGTTAACAGTTCTATTCTATGCATACTTAGTGAAGTTAGCCTTGGTTGCTTTAAGTTTGTGGTAGAAATAGCTGAGTCTTACCACAAGATATCATTATAACCTTCATCTATCATATCGTATCGTATTGTATCATATCATATATCAACTCTTACATCCTTTTACATTTCAATTCTATTTTCAGTGTTCCATGAACTAAAGACAAGTTGGTATAAATGTCTTATTTAAGGCTTAAGACTCAGCCATCATGTGTTGTTAGTACTCTGTGCAGCTAGCTTACATCTCTGTTTTAATGTACAGTTCACTGGAGAGATTAAGACTGACAGTAGTGTACTATTATGGGTATAAACAAATATTTTTAAAAGTAGTTTGATCTATGTCAATTGCTAAGCATCAGTATCCTGTTCGTTCCTTGAGATTATGATCTCTATAGCAATGATTATTTGATCAGATTTACAGAAATAGACATGGATTCTTTCCTGTGGAGTGAGTCTCAAATCCAATCAGAAGTTGTGTACCTGCAGAATGGATGCTTCAACTCACTTCTAACTTGATTATTCCCAATTCCTGTGACCATACCCCACCCTACTTGGCTCCTTTCTAGATTACTGGCTTCTACCAGTACTCTAAACTGAACATAAAAAATTAGAGATTTGAATTAGGCTCTACATATAATGGAGAATGTGTGCTGGGCATATGATGGATAGTGTGGTGTTCTTCTATCTGTTCCTGGCTAGCCTTACTCAGGATAAAATTTTTAGAGCCACAGATTTACCTGAACATTTTCTAACATTATTTTTGTTTCAGGCTGAGTTAAATCCCAGTGTACCACATTTACATTATCTAGTCATTATTGTGAACATCCTTCCCTTCTCTTCCAGCCGTTACAAAATTTCATGTATTACATTGAGGTCTTTGAGTTTTTGTTTTGTTTTAACAGGGTGAGGGTCTAGTTTCATTTGTATATATGCAGATATCCAGTTTTCACAACATCATTTGTTGAAAATTCTGTCTTTCCTCTAATATGCATTTTTGTTGAAAATCGGATGTCTATAGTTGCATGGACTTTGTGCGTGTGTGTGTGTGTGTGTGTGTGTGTGTGTGTGTGTAACTTACTTTCCACCAGCTCACTAACTTTCTTGCCAGTCACCCCCTTCTACAATCCTTCCCCATCCCCTTCTCCTTTGACAAGGTGGAGGTATGCCCTGGGTATCCCCCTACCCTGACACATCAAGTCTCTGGAGGGATAGGCACATCCTCTCCCATTGAGGCCAGACAAGGCAGCCCAGATAGAAGAACAAATTCCACAGACAGACAACAGCTTTTGGGTTAGCCCTTGCTCCAGTTGTTCAGGACCCACATGAAGACCAAGTTTCACGTGTGCTGCATATGTGTAGGAAGCCCTAGGTCCAGCCTGTGAGTGTTCTTTGATTGGTGGTTCAGTCTCCGAGAGCCCCAAGAGTCCAGATTACTTGACTCTGTTGGTCTTCCTGTGGAGTTCCTATTCCCTTTGGGGCCTGCAATAATATCCCCAACTCTTCCATAAGAGTCCCCAAGCTCCATTCACTGTTTGGCTATGGGTCTCTGCATTCCTCTGAGTCAGCTACTGGGTGGTGCATCTCAGAGGATAGCCATGCTAGACTCATGCTGTAAGCATAGCAGAATATCGTTAATAGTGTCAGGGATTGGTGATTGCCCATGGGATGGATCTACAGTTGGGCTAATGGTTGGCCATTCCCTCAGTCTCTGATCTATCTCCCATCACTGCTTTTCCTGTAGACAGGATAAATTTGGGATCAGAAGTTTTGAGACTTTCATGCTGTGTTGCTGGTCAATGTATCTGTGTGTTTGAGCATGCGTGTGTGTGTGTGTGTGTGTGTGTATGTGTACATGCGCACACGCACGCTACTACAATACTCCTAAGTACTATAATTTTATTGTATAACTTGAAATCAGATATAATAATGTCTTAATTGATTTGCTCAGTCTCTATTCTTTTGTCCATCCAGGGTATTTTATGTTTCCATATGAATTTTAAGACTTTTTTTTAAAGATTTCTACAAATAATGGCATGGGGATTTTGATAGGTATTGAATGAATCTGTAGATTAATTTTGGTAGGATTATTATCTTCACAACATTGTAACAACTGATGAATATGGGAAAGCTTTCCATATTCTAATGTCTTCCTAAGTTCTCAAGTTCTAAGGTCACTATCGTACAAGTCATTCACCTTTCTTTTTTTTCTTCCTTCCTTCCTTCCTTCCTTCCTTCCTTCCTTCCTTCCTTCCTTCCTCTGTTCCTTCCTTCCTTCCTTTCAAGATTTATTTTTTTATGTATATGAGTACACTGCCACCATCCTTAGACACACCAGAAGAGGGCATCAGATCCATTACAGATGCTTGTGAGCAACCATGTTGTTGCTGGGAATTGAACTCAGGACCTCTGGAAGACTAGTCAATACTCTTAACCATTGAACCATTTTCCAGCCCTACTTCACCTTCTGAGAGATTTTATTCTAAGATGCTTACTTTGAGAGATTTTTAAAGCTATTGTGAATGAAATTATTTCTGTGATTTCTTCCTCTGTGTGTTTCACATTGGTGAATAAAAAAAAAAAAAGACTATTGGTGTTTGTATCCTGATACTTTTTGGAAAAGTAAAAATTAGTTCTAGAAGTTTTCTGGTGAACTATTTATGGTCTCTTATGTGTAGTATCATATTACCTAAAAACAAGAATACTTTGAATTCTCTTCCTGTTTATATCTCTTCTCTTGCCATTATGTTCTAGCCAAGACTTTGAGCACTTTATTGAACAGTAGTGGAGACAGTCGACAACCTAGTCTTCTTCTTGATTTTAATGATACTATATTTTCTCCATTTAAGATTATGTTAGCTATGTATTTGTCACATGTGGGTTTTTTTTAACGTATAAAGGTATATTCCTGCCAACTTTATTCTCTATGGAACTTCTCTTGTGTAGGCAATTTGAATTTAGTTAAAGGCCTCTTCTGAATCTACTGATGACTATTGAATTTGGGTTTTAAGTTAATTTCTATATGTTTACTGATTTGCACATGTTGAATTATCTCCTTATCTACTTGATAAAGTCAACTTGATGATGGTGTATGATCTTTTTTATGTGTATCTGTACTAAACAGTAGTTTTTAAAACGTTTGAATCTACATTCGTTTTCATTGTCTCTTTATATGGCTTTGGTACTGGGGTAGTGCTGGCTTC